AAGGACATCCTGGTGACACTCTTCGACAACCAGACATGGGCCAAGCAAGAGCTCAACGATGAGTTTGAATACTTGGGCATTCTGGAGGCTTGGCATCACCCTCGCTCCAACATCTTCATCACCCTTGTTGTCTTCATCCTCATGAAGGTGGGTGCCTGGTGCCCCTGCCAGCCCCGGAGTGCCACTGGCAGGCTCTGGGGAGGGGTTCCTGGATGCCACCAGGGAGGGGCTGGATGGTGGCCAGCAAGGTGGCACCAGGAAGCACTGGGTGACTGCTCCCAGAGGTCACTAAGGTGTTGGCTGGATGCCGCCGACATGTCAGAGATCTTGGCTGGGAGCCACCAAGGGGCCAGCAGGAGGGGCTGGCAGGGTGCCCCCAGGTGCCACTAGGGAGGTGCTGGCAGGGTGTCCACTGCGAGGAGTATGGCTACCCCATGGCAGGGTGCGGTGCCCACGGCCTGCCCCACAGCAGCTGGCTGTGGGACACTGCTTGGGGCAGGAGACAGGGCTGGGCCAGGGGGGCAACTAACACATGCCTGTGTCCCCTCTGCAGTTCTGGATGTCAGCCCTGGCCACCACCATCCCGGTGCCCTGCGGTGCCTTCATGCCCGTCTTCGTCATCGGTGAGAGCTACCTATGCAGGCACGGCGGGAGGGGGGACCTGCCCACCAGCCCACCCTGAGGCGTCCCTGGGTGTCCCTTGAACCAGCAGGGAAAGGGCAGAGGAGAGGGCGCGAGGCTGGGGACGTGCCAGAAGAGCCCCCGTGCCCACTCCCAGCCCCTCTCTGCGTGCAGGGGCAGCCTTCGGGCGACTGGTGGGGGAGAGCATGGCAGCCTGGTTCCCCGATGGCATCCACGGCGACAGCAACACCTACCGCATCCTGCCGGGGGGCTACGCCGTGGTGGGTAAGCACTGGGACGGCATGGGGACACCACGGTGGGCATCACTTAGAGATGCTCCAAAGGAGTTCCCCAGGGCTGAGGTGGTGTCCCCATGGCCTGGGGGTGACCCAGAAGGTCCCAAGGGCTTGGGGTGTGGTGCATGCCCCAGGGCTAGGGACCCAGCACCTGATGGCCACCCCCATGTCACCCGGGGACGGGACCAGGGGCGGCCGCGCTGTCGGGCGCTGTCACCCACACGGTGTCCACGGCCGTCATCGTCTTTGAGCTGACGGGGCAGATCTCGCACATCCTGCCCGTCATGATCGCCGTCATCCTGGCCAACGCCGTAGCACAGAGCCTCCAGCCCTCCCTCTACGACAGCATCATCCGCATCAAGAAGCTGCCCTACCTCCCCGAGCTGGGCTGGGGCCACCATGAGTGAGTGTGTGTCCC